GATGGCGGATTGCTACGTCCTCGAAGTCACGTACTGTCTTACTTAGTTGGATATAGTATTAAAATGCATAATGGGAAATACTGTAATTTAAATATTAACATCTTGCAACATACTTTTATCTACTTGAAAGGCTAAGTTTTATTATAAAAGACTAGTATATATAATTTGTTTTGAAAGACAATCCTTTATTTATCAAAATCTTCAGGAATATACTGCTAATGAATTATTGTCTTCATATACTGTAACTCGCCGAGATCTTTTCCGTTTACAGTGACCAAAGCCATGACACATAGTTAGAAATTCGACAATTGCACAGCAGAAATGGGAAAAGGGAAAATCCGTGATGGAAGAAAAAATAAAAAAACGTGTAAACTTATTCTGAGAGAAAAACATTAATTCTCCAAATCAATAACACGATCGGCAATCTCCGGCCCATAACCAGAAAGTTAATTTAGCAGCCAATTTAAGTGTTCAACAAACAATCACCGAATGAAAACATATGTCAAGTATACAATATAGATTTGTTATAAACGCAAAGAAACGTGAACAGAGGGCTTAGTTTAGTATATATGCATGCATTGGTTCAATAATTTCTTTAAAAAAATGAAAACAGCACATTATAAATTTTCATGGGTCCGAAGCGCTTTTCTGGATTTACCTTCATTAGGAATGCTCAAAGCCAAATATTTGAAAGCCAAGGATGTATAACACCGAAACTAATACAGAAATATATGACCAAAAAATATCTAAAAATATAGCAAAATCAATCTTAAGTCAACTTTGCATGAGAGAGTTAGTTTCTTTGTAATTTCAAAATTCATAAACGGATTAACATGATAGTCAACAGAAAATCGTTTCATATGACTTAAATCACGGGTTACAACTTCATTAGGAACAAATTTAGAAATCCAGAAAGGTACACTAATGAGAAAGTTACGTTATTGTATGAAAAACATCTATATGTTTCAATAAATCCAATCAAAAATGAAATTCGCTGTACTGTACTCACAACCATGACAGCGTTTTATAGATATAAGAAGATGTGGTATGAGTGCCAATGAGACAACTCTCCATCCTTATCACAATTTGTAAAAGTAAACCATTATAGGTCAAAGTACGGCCTTCAACACGGAGCCTTGTCTCTCACCGAACAGCAAGCTATAAAGGGCCCCAAAAATGACTAGTGTAAAACCATTCAAACAGGAAAACCAACGTTCTAATCCATATAAAAACGAGAAACGAGAAACACTTATAAACCACATCAACAAACGACAACCACTGAACATCAGGTTCCTGACTTAGGACAGGTGCAAACAAATGCAGCTTTAAGTCTACAATATACTAGTGGTTGTAAAAATCCGGGTAAATATTATCTTGGTAATTCAAATATTCCTACTTACCAAAAGTTGCAAAATTAATAAAAGAAAAACAAAATACGCACAAGCCTTCTAGAAGAATAACATAAGCTTATATCAATGTGAATATTCTGCTTTCAATGATCCCGATGCCTCGCCATCAATCTCTGGGGGTCAATAACATGTAAAAGGTATAAGCTAAACTCATAAGATTTTGAAATTTAGGCATCGGATTTCACACCGACTTTACACAAACCCATACCACTGTGACATAAAAGCAAGGTAATTTTACCCTATATTTGAACCTTACTTTACGGTTTTGCTCATTGTTGAAGGCCGTACGGTGACCTATAGTTGTAATTTTTTATATCATTTGGTCTCTGGTAAAGAGTGGTCTCATGTCAATCATATCACATCTTCTTATTTTTATATATACTATCATATTTTGAAAAAAATCATATCTTGATAAACTTTAGTCTGACATTGTGGTATCATATATTCTTCATATCAAACTTGAAACTAAACAATTATCACTTCACTATCTTTTGGACGCCATTTTTAATAGGTGTATTCTTTGGCGAAGATTTCTCGAATGTTCGGTTACTGTCTTATTGGCGAATAGCCCACATCTTAATGTAACATTGTGATATTAAATCTTCCTCACACACAAAAAATTACCCAAACACTTATCTTGAAGTGAGAGAAATAAACATTGACAAGACTATCGTTGCCCTGCTGCATGGCATGGACATAATTATAATGCTGAACAAAAAAGAAACAAAAGCATTTCGGAATTATTCAATACGTGCTGTTTACCAGAAAATGATTCCATTTTACATACAACTGGTAAGAAGTATCGCACCACCCTTATTTTTCTCAACAAACCAAAATATGATAATAATTATATAATATTGTTTATGACTTACACAAGTATATAAATTGTGCATTTCTGTCATTAACAAGACCACAGGCATAAATAAGATATAAGGGTTGAAAAAAAAAGAATTTAATTTAGCACAAATTTTGTCAAAGAAAAGTTTATCTTGGGTACTCAAATTGACAATGTTAAGTATGGGTGCTTACAAGTAGCAAAACTCGGCAACACAATTTCCTTTTTTGGTAAACGAGAATATAATCCGCAGTAACAATAAATACAATATTGTTCAATGCAGAGTGAAGACATCGTTAATACGAAAACCCGATGCTAAACGTCTTCATATTCAATAGTTCACCGTTGAATTTGTTGTTGTGATATTTTTTGGCATTTCTGGTGCAAAGCTTGAGATAAATCATGGATGAGCATATCTGGGACGTTATTAGTACTTGAGAGAATATCACTAGTTCAGAATCTCGATGATTTATATCAAGTTTTGCAGCATGAAATACTTTCACTACCACCAAAACAAATTCAACATGTGATCTGTGTAATGAGAAGACGGTTTTCAGTAATTATTCATGTTAACGGTGGTTTCACTCTGTAATGAACATTGTTGTATTTATTATTACTACTGACACGTACTCGCATTTACCAAACAAAAGGAATTGTGTTATCGAATTTATTTTTTTGTTAGCATCCAAAGTTAAATATTGTCTATTTATAGTATCCAAGACATCCTCTTGTTTGTAAAAAAAATGTGCGTAATTGAAATCGTTGTTTTTCAAACTTTTCAATAAATTTTTATTCATCCGAATAACAATAACTGTCAATATAAAAAAAATGTCTAATTTGTATACTTTCGGGGCCATATATGATATTATATGTTATAATATTTTTGTTTGTGAGAAAAATCAAGGTCGCGCGATACTTATTTTCCATGTGTATAGATTAAGAAGGCCAACATATATCTTGTTTATTTCATTTCAAATATTAATGATTTCCTCTTTTTCCCTCAAATCTTCTAATACTTTACGCTTTATTTTAAAAAAAGCTTTACTATTGCAGTTCCTAGATAAAACGTTAAACAGATTCATTAATTTCGAATATATAAAATCATAGTGATCATCAACCAAAGAAGACAAAGACATATGACGGATTTTAGCCGTAATAGATTTCATGCTCTAATCAAATATGACATTCATTGACTGATTTTATTAGCCCGGGAATACTCTTTGTTCTCATAAACATTGTTACTATCATCTTATATAAATTCTCAAGAAGATGTCTGAATTGTATAAAAAATACTTCATTGATGTGACTGACATATCATTTCTTCATTGAAAGTGACGTTATATGTTGTTATTTTGTCGATAAATCAAGAAAATTGCTTTATAAATCTTCCTAGGGTTAGTTCTGTCCAATACAATTGTCAGTCTCCGATAGTCTCAAGCATCTTTGTCTTCATCTATCTATTGTGAAGCAAAACCTATCACAGATATAATTACATTGTCATCTTGAAAATGTTGGAATAAATGAGTTTACACTTCCGTTTGTATCATTGTCCTGAAGGTGTCTAATTCTAGTTTTATTTCGAATGCTTATCCCCGGTTGTATGTTTTCCAGTGTTTACAGTTGTTTGGCTGTCGATTCCAAATAGTAGATTTCTCATTGGGTTCACTGTTTTCTCCAATTTTCCATTACGCTATCAATAATTATAAATTAGTGTACAACAATAAATCTGATTAAAACCGAAAGTCTTTCATTGTTTCACGATTGATACCTTCGTCATTTCATTTTCAACTTTACAACTTAATAAATGACTCAGTATAGGTTTCAAGATTGATACCTTTGCCATTTCATTATCAGCTTTACAACTTAGTAAATGAAGGCATCAGTAGAGGATCATAACTTCATCATTCCGAACGTTATAGATATTTGTTTTGATGAACGAAATGTCCCCATAATAACGTTGCGTGTTTATATAGATTGATAATGTTTTAGTGATATTACGTAGCCAATGATAAATAGTCAAAGCAGACAACTCTTGACACGTTCCTTCAATCATTTGATGTTCTTTTTGTTTGAGCCCTGTTGATCTTCTTCAAAACTTGGATTGCTTTGGCAATTGATGTTAAAAATAGAAACATTGTAAATTGCTATTAAATAAATGTAAGTAAACAGATTAATACTCACATTTGTTATGGTATCCTTGATGATTTACAAGATGTGAAAATTGAAAGGCAAAAACAACAAATTGCGTGATATGATTTACGTAGGCAAGTTACGTGATTCTAAAATAACCGTTATCAGACACGTTCTAGACGTAAAATTTAAAAGGGCCAATTTTGTTACTCACTATTATTGTATTTAATGCATATAGATGTGTATAATTCTTTGTCACTTTTAAAAATTTGCGCGGGAAAAAAGTCATTTTTTTCACATTAATGGGTTTTCTTACCGCAATACTTATTACTTTTTGTATAGATGGCCGATTGCGGCCCTTTTAATATGTAGTTCTCAAGGATAGCATATAATTTGTTCTTGATTTACTATGTGGTTTTCGTCGAAGTAGAATTTGTTTCTTTGTGTGTGTGTGTGTTTTGTAAATGTTTTTAGTCTTCTTTATTTGTGCTTTTTGTCCTTCTTTTATTACCGCCTTGGTATCTACTTTTTCTACATGCTGTCTTTTAATTCTTCTACATATTTAATTATACGTAGCCTTATTTCCTATATAAAAGCAAAGGTGCGAATTCATTTATATCTTGCAGTTTATGTGATGCTGGGCCGTCGTTACGAGTTTATAGGACTGATGGACCATTTAGAAGACAAGGGATTACTGGACTCAGGAGAATATTTTGTTGTTGGTATAATTCTTAGACAGTATGATCCGCTGAAACCATTTGAATATCTAGAAGGTATATTTTATATATAATTCCTAAATACGTAAGCAATAAATGTCTTATAAACTCAGCACTGTGACAAAATGCACCAGAAATCGGATGAAAACACATACATTGTGATACGTGATAGAAAAAGCCATATACAAAATACATTAATGTTATGGTGAATAATTTGCTTAATAGTTTCAAATGTTAATCGGTATTTTGTCGATCGTTTCCTATTCACGATTGTGTCCTATTCGATTGTGATATATCGACTGAGTGTAGATTTGCATGGCGTATGATGCATCCATAGCAAAGGACGTGTATCGTGTCGTCGACCTCCGGCGTTCATTACGGAGTTTATACGATTCCCTCAATTTTTGTTTATTACCTGGATTTGTTTTCTTAATCATAAGATTTTAAACATCAGTGAACTAATGTTGTCTGAATTTAAAGGTGTTTTCTTCTAAGAATTTGTATTCAGCAAACCTTGTAAATATCAAAATATATTATTCTTATTTTTCAACATTTGAAAATAATATATTCTGTTTTTTTTTTATCAATGCATATGCTTAATTTTCTAATTCTTGGAATAAGGCAAAGCATACATATTGAATAGTATGTAAGAAACTTGTCAATGAAGTTACTAATGTTGTGCAAACATGATGATGAGTGTCATTACTCCCTTCTATCTTTGTTAAAACTTTGTGCCCATTGTCTCTTTTAGTTGTTTTTTGTTCTACTGATGACTCAATCCCTGTCCAATTTATTTTTACTATCTATTCTTAATATGTGCTGTTACACCACTGACAATTGTTAGGAAAGAGTTGAACGTTTAATTTTTTTCAAAACGCTTAGATTTTTCTACGCTCGGGTATATATTGCCTTAGTGTATTTGGCACACCTTTTTTGAATTTTCGGTATTTTAAGATCTACAACTTCGTATTTGATTTTGGCCTTCTTACTGTTTTTAATTCGAGAGCCACTGATAAGTCTCATGTAGACGAAACGCGCGTCTGGTGTACACAAAAATCTTCAAAAATACCAGACTAACAATTGTGTACACCAGACGTGCGTTTCGTCTACATGAGACTTATCAAGTATCCACCCAAAACCAAATGACGTGGAAGTAAGCAACCAAAGATCCCTGTACGGCCAACAACAATGAGCAAAACTCATATCGTATAGTAAGCTATAAAAGACACAGACAAGATGAAATGTAAAACAATTAAAATAGGAAACCAACGGCGTTAGTTATGCTAAAAACAATAAATGAAGAACAACTAAGACACACAACAACCACAAATTACAGGCTCTTGACCTTTTACAGGCAAATAAAGATTGTGGCAAGTTTTGGATGGATACTTGTCCCATTAGCAATTATACCAAATCTCCTTTTCTCAGAGCGAAACCTCTTTCGATATTCACCAAAAAGAACTTTTTTTTGTTTGTTAAAATGATGGGAAATAATGATTCCTTCTAATACAAACAAGTTCGTTTACTTAGAATGATTGTCTTATTGTTACAGGTATATTCGATAGAAATGTGTCGGATTCAAGTGTTAAAGCGTTTCAGCATTTTATCGGAGTGGTTCAGTCGCCTCCGATATATCCAGATTATGAGAATTTCTCTGAATATGTCAACCATTATCTTGAATTACCACCATTTAATTTTACAAACCCTTTAAAAAAATATGGTGCAAAAAAAATTGTAAGTATTCTTTCGTTCATTGAAATTGAAATGAAATATTGTTCACAAGTGTAAATGGATCTATACATTTTTGTGATAGAAGCGGTATATCGCATATATAATATGATTAACATCATTCGTTGTTGCTGTTTCACATGACAATTCATCTTAGCAATGATTAGACAAAAAAACATATTAAATTTTAATTAAGTAAATATGAGAGTAGCAAAGAGAGAGAAAAATAACTTTTTACAGGTTTTATTATCAAATGATGCATAGACCTGATTGGATGTTTTTGTTCAACATGCAAAAGTAGCATACAAATGCACCTATCCTACTATCACAATAGACATTATTCCAGTATTTCACCTGCTTTAGAATTTACTTTTCATACAAAAATACAATTTTTCAAATTTTAGTTAACTTTAAAAAAGATGGTGGATATATACATATATTACTGAATGGAAACTATAAACTTCTACGAAGGATTTCAAAAGAAATCATACCATTTAAAGGCATAAACAATAATATTAACTGTACTATTTTTACTGCTTTAGATTGGCATTTCGACAATTGATGTATATGTTCATTTCGTGCTTATGCTGATGCACTGAGATACTGGACTGTTGATACCCTCCCGCAATAGGGGATTAAAAGTCCACCAGCAGGGGTATCGATCAATTGTAATAACATTAACGGTATCAATTATACTGCACCAGATGTGATTTCGACAATTATTGTATCTTCAGACCCAAGTTGTATTGTAAAAACTATGAATATGAATTTGAATTTGCATTAGACATAGCGTTTCATTCCATTCGAATTAATCAAAAGACAAATTATTAGGTCTTTTCACTATTCTGTGGAAAGACCTATTGATTTTGTTCGGATTAACATTTTTTTTCTTCCGCTAAACCCTTTTCTTGCGGTTCAAAGTGGTTTCGCAAGATGTCGCTTAGATGTTTTGGATATTATACAAAACAGTTTTTGTGCTTTTGAAACTTAACCTGTTTAGATGAAGACTTTTAATTGTAAGAGTTATCTCCCCAAACACTGATTTCTTGTTAATGTATATACTCAGTAACCAAAAAATATAACGAAATATTTTTTTCTTAATTGTTCGTTACATCCTCAAAATGTTTTGACTGATTTAATCCAAAGCAATCCAGTGTCATAAACCGAACACCATATAGACCTAGGATCTTTTTATTTGAGGTCCTTTTAATAATTTCAACTATTTAGAAATTTAATGTGGAAGACCTTCAATTGTTCTCTAAACAATTGATTTTTAATTATTGTTGATTTTTTTCACATTTGCTTGCTAAACTGATAATTGTCAGGACATAATGTACTTGTGAAAGAAATACAAAAAGGAACTATGTTTTTTAAAAGACTTATACATAATCTGAGCAAATTAGCAAATGAAACAATTATGATAAACTTTGCAGTGCGTAGAATAAGTGCTATTCACTGCTGTACTTTTATCACCTTCGATGATATAAATATTGACATTATTTGATACCTTTTTTTATATATATATATATATATATATTATAGATAGTACGAATTTTGACTGTGACTGTAAAATAAAGATGTAGTATAGACATAATGCTAGGCAAAAAAATAAGTTAAACGATTTAAGCTTACATAATATATCTTATACCACGGTATCAAACAACTGGAACATCAGATGCCTTCGAATAGAAATAAGTTTAGCTGACGTGACTTGTTTTTAGTGATAATACGTAGTTTCAAAAGATAATACAATTCCTCGGAATCTACCAAATTTCAACAACAGTTTTCTATTCAAGTTAATAAAATAGAAAATGTTCCTATTGATTTGGGAAATTAGAAGAAAATATTGACATTATTTGATACCTCTCTTATTATTGTAAATCATGTTCATTAACATAACACTTCCTTGTGTGCTTATAAGCAAAAACATCCTTTAGGACAACGTGCCAAAACATTATTTTTTTTCCGTTGAATAAGTGTTTGATGTTTTCTTATAAACAAGACAAAACTTACACAAAATTATTCAACATTACTTTTTTGTTATCAGTACACTAAGTGATTTGTTCTATTAAGAGTACAAATATTTCAAGAAATATAAGAGGAAAAAAAGGCGAAAATACCAAAGACACATTAAAAACTCATCAATCGAAGAAAAAATTAAAAAGAAAAACAGAACAAAAACTATTATGCCTTGATATTTTCCTTTTCTGTTTAGTACTAACCAAATGCATAAACTTAATTAAGGATACACTTATTTTTGTTCGACTTTAAGTGTTTGTCGAGTAAGTCTATAATTTTGAGGTATGTAAGTCTTTGCATTTGTTTTCTTGACAAGTGTGTTGTTTCGAATTTCCAATCTGAAGTTTGCATGTCCTATTGGCCTAGTGGGAATTCTTATGCATAATGTTTAAATTCTGTAATAGAAAGAAAATGATTACCAGACGATAGTCTCATCATGTGTTAACAATACCATTAAATGTCAGACTGTCGCACTCGCTGAAATTGAAAGAAGCATTTATGTCAAATAGCACCATGGTGCATATTATACAGTGTTTATTTTCATATTTCATTACAGATAAAATCAGAGGCAGCATTTTTATATGATGCTGTTTGGTTGTATGCACGCGCGGCTGATCAGACCATTAAAGAAGGAAATGACCTATCAAATGGAACGTACATTTTCAGTAAGCTCATTGGACAGAGATATAAAAGTACGTATGAGCTCTGGCATTTTAAAGTACAAAATGTTAGTGAACATGTTTCTTATATCACATGGAAATACATAGCTTTATATATTACTATGATAAAATGTTAAATTGAATCAGGAAAAGATTAATTGGATTTTTTTTTCAGTACAGTAACTAACACATTTTCCAAATAATAATTATTCTCAATTAAAGCTCCTGTAATCGGAAATAATTGAAGTTTTAGAAACAATTTATGGAGGACAATTCGGGCAATATTCGAGCATTTGTACAGATAATTAAATTTCCGTTGCAGAAAAGTGTATTGACTTCAGGGTAACAATTCTGTTAAATTAAACAGAGTTACGAGATCATTTATTGCAATTATTATGTTGGTTTATTTTGAAATTGAATTAAGCAAACAAGAGGAGAAAATATCGAGAGGGCAACCAAAAACCACAAAGCAAGAAGTTGAATAATATATAATTATAGCGTTGTTTGATGAAACTTATTTTTTTTTTAATACCTACATAATTGTATTAGATTCTCTTGAGAACCTCATTAGCTGATACATATCACGAATATAATTCAGGTTCTGCACAAACTATCATTTATACAAATATCTGATAAATAATGAAAATAAGAATGTAAAGGTCCAATGTAAACGCAATGCATGTATATACGAGACACTTAATTCAACCATGAACAAAAGGAGATGGGGTGGTAAACGTCAAAGAGATGCTAGGCGAATTTCATTCTCGTAGGAGTTCGTTAATAGGTAATTGTACAGTTTTAAAGATATCCATGTTAGATAGATTTGGTGATTTCGTTTTGGATGCATACTCTGCCTACCGTGACCTCCAAAAAAGTTACTTTGCTATTTTTTATAATAACATCAATTAAGCAGTCAATCAAGGTATAAACTGTTCATCGACATCTGCCATTACATACATTAGAACACCAGCTATAGCACGTAGTATCATTTTAGTGTACTAGACTATTTTAGTTTACTTTAATTTGTCGATTGTGTTGGTTTGTGACTGAACGTTTAAATGCACTATTTGTTCGAGCTATTTTACCGTCTTTATTCGAAATAATGCATAACGCATATCACGTTTAAATTGATTGTGAAGCCATATTGTTTAAGACACTGACAACATTTAGAAATAATCTATATTTGATTTGAATTTTCAATTATAACGATATTTTCATCAAACCTGCAAATCCAAACCTGGAAGCTTTATTATGGCCTATAAACATAAATAACTTTTATCATTCCATCAAACAGGTGCCATGGGTTATATAAGCAGAATTAATTCGGTTGGTGATGCAGAAGGCAATTTTTCCATGATTTCTAGAAAGCTCGGTAATGATGGTAGATGGGGGTTGTATCCTGTGGGAGTATTTCAGCTGAACGAAAACACACAAACTCTTCCTGTAAGTTATTTCATGCAGATTATCATTTTTTGATGCGTGATAATTGTTTGACAGTCATAAAGAATTATGCAACCTGATAAACTCCTACTCATGGTACGAAAGAAATCTACGTTAAGCAAATCACGCGAGAATATGGCGCAATTACCGAGTAGATTATTTGTTAGCATTCTTAACATGACGTTTTGCCTAAAGAAATATAGGTTAGAGAAAATTATTTGGAATATTAAAAATGATAGCTTTTTAACAAAATCAAAAGAAAGAACATGCTGTGAATTTATCATCGATCCGATATTAATGTTTTATTTTGTGCAATTCTGAAACACATGATAGATGTTTTAATTCCATAATTTCATCCGTGTTTTCAAATCAAATGGCAGGTGCTATTGTAGCATCATTTTTTTTCAGCCTAAAAATGTTTTACGCAATGAGAACGTCGCTACTAAGTCCATTAGATACTTTAGGCATACTATTTTGATCTGAAACAATAGAATTTGAACTTTTTGTCAGTTGAACCATTGAAAATTGTTTTATAAAGTGGTAGAACGACGACATCAGTATTAACGACAGTAAATATTTTTTTTATAAAGATAAAACAAAACAAGCATCAAGTTAAGCATCGATGGGACAGGATAACTGGATCATTTTTAGATACTTGTTATAATATTAGTACTTTTCTATACATATGGCTTGTATTCCATTCTCTTGTCTTTAAATTTTTGAATCAAGTCTAGAAAAAGAATGGTATAGCAAGAAGTTTAAAAAAATACAAAAATTGTGAAACAATTCAAACGTGAAAACTAACGGCCTATTTATGATAATGCAATTTACGAAAAACGAATATGATAGACATGGGCCAACGACAACAACTGAAATAACAGGCTCCTGGCGTGGGACATAAAGAATGTCGCGGTTAAACTTGTTTTTGAGCGCTCAACCCTTTCCTAACCTGAGACAGTGGTGTAGCAGCACACATAATGACAGACTGTTAAAATCATATGCAAATGGCTTTACTATTTAGATCGGTGCGAAGTTCAAGTACATCATGTTGATAAGATCATGTGACTGTTAGAAAAAAATCCTCTGAACTGGTTTAGGAACAATGGTTGGATGGAAAACGAACAAACGAACGAACGGATAAACGAACGTATGGATATTCCATCACTATATACCGCATTCTTCAAAACATTTGTGAGTGTATATGTTTATTTTGGGGGGAGTAGGGTTATGAAAAGGTCTTCCCAAGTCGAAAGCAACTATTTTTGATCGAAGTAAGAATCGATTATTGATCGCAGTAAAAACTATTATTGGTCGAAGTAAGAATCGATTTTAGATCGAAGTAAGAATCGATTATTGATCAAAGTAAGAAACGATTATTTATTGAACTAAGACTCGATCATTGATCGAAGTAAGATCGATTATTGATCTTAGTAAGAATCGATTATTGATCGAAGTAAGACTCGATCATTGATTGAAGTAAGAATCAATTATCATGAATTAAAAAAAAATGAATAATGAACAATCTATCTCCCATATATTCGTATGTGAAAATAATAAGATAATATTCTTACGTAGTTGTGCTAAACCTAAGGTTGTAACTCTCTGGGATAAACTTTCGTTTAATATAGGTACCAACAGAATTAGAGAAAAATAGGTCATATCTTTAACATCGACTTTTTACCTAAATCCAAACAAGACTAGTAAAGATCATTCCTATAGGGTATACGTTTTGACTTGGTAATTTTGGGAATGTATTTCTTTAGGCGATATACTTTATCAATCATAGCGATGAAAAACTATAAGAAAGACAACAGTTTTATTAAATTCTGAATAGATATCTTGGCAGTCGCGGATACAAATTTGTACTTTAGTGTGCAAATAAGATGCAGTCCTTGTCATACAAAAAAAAGCCAGCAGAACCTTTGGATGAAGTTATTAAATAGGAGATGGAAAAGTACATTATATGAGTAAGATTCTGTGGAAGCGGTTCAGGAGTCGTTCTTCCCGTGTCGAAAGAAACAGAAAACTTATACCATATTTGATAATATCGATCGAAGGAAGAATCGATTACTACTACTAAGTATTGAAAAAAAAATAATGAACCGTTTATTCCCAACAATATTAACCTTATTTATATTTACATTGAACTTAATATTTGTGCATGCAAGTATCTCATATCACACAGAGAGAATTCCTCAATTTAAAAAATGTATACGACAGTACAAGAGACCACATAACAGCATCTAACATGATCATATAAAAATTTACTTAAAACGACAATGAAGAACATGTGGTCCAGATAGTCTGACTTGGTACAGGCACAAAAGTGTTTAACCTTCTGACGTGCTCACAAACATATTTATCCATTATTTTATTTAATCTTTATATGTCACTTTTCGTAACATATATTGTAATCTACAAATGATATCATTCAAAAGGCAAATATTCATTTAAAGAGGTGTCGGGTAATATGTCAGTTTGACAGCAACCTAACAACAATTATATTTTCTAATATTCGGTATATTCAACTTTAATGGTATGCTAAAAGATTATTGCACACCGAATAGTCATACTAAATCAATACAAAGTCTATGTCAGACAGACATACTCTAGACAAGAATGTTTTTTTTCTGGATTTCTCTGGAAAGACAATATATTTTGCAGTTTGATACAATGTTAACTAATTATATAAATGTTGATAGTATCAAGCTGCTATTACACAGGACTGACAAATAATGCAGACAAGTATAATACTTATTAAATCAATGGAGATTTAAGAACTTATATTCGTAGTTTAAGGACAATTTTATTGAAATAAAAGCATAATAATCACTAATTCGAGGCAATTTAATCAAGATAAAAGAACAAAACATTCCCTTGAGAAAGTAAAGAAATTATGATAGCCTACCAATACCGTCAGCATCTATGAATTTTTTAGTTATTGAAAGATTCGATTCTAATTCTCCTTATGGTTTACTCAGATAAAACTACGTCACATTTTCCTTGACATATTGCTACGCAACCTCAAAATCGACGGTCCTTCATATTCATGTTATTGAATTAGAACGTCTGTTTTTCATTTTCTTATCAGCAACTGATACATTTAGCGGTTTTCTTTAGGTATAATAGTTTGTGTAAATTTAAAGTAGTATGGAGGTCTTCCGAAATATTAGATAGTTAAGTAGCATAAGACGTTCGGTGTAGATTATAAATGAAATAAGCAAATTTTGAGACAGGAATGCAATTCATTTGAAAGCCTTTTTATTTGAATGGAAAATAAAATATTGGTATTTATCCAATTTTAGATCGGACACACATGTTAAAATTACGCACCTTCTATTATGAATTTTTTTTTGGGGTATTTTTTTTCCGAACTTGATAATTTTTAAGAAAAATTAACAAAATATGCTACAGTTTTGTGTTATCAACTCCTCTTTCAGTTTTTAACCAAAAACATTAAACCTTCACAGAAAGTTTGCACACATTGATAATTTGTCAGCAAAATTTACAAAAGATGGTACCAGTTTTGTGTAAGCAACTCCTGTAGTTTTCAACCTAGATCCTTGAAACTCCAGAATAGTTTCCAATATATTGCAGTTGTGCACCCGATGAGTTTTAATTTTTTTTTCAATTGTGAAAGTTTAAAATAAAACAAAACAGATCAAAACACTATTCAGGATTAATTATAGATGAGAACGTCACAGCCATTTAAAAATTCAAATAGCGCAGACAAAAACACATGTATAATACTAAAGCAGTCGCAAAATAAACCATTTAAAAAAACATGCAGTATCAACATAGCTGCTCTTGAAGTGTAATTAGACCCTGCTCCAATAGCGGCACCCGAATGGTTTATTTTATGTAAGACAGCAAAGGTCACAAATATGAAAATGAATAAGTCTATTTTTCAGTCCTTCTTTAGGTAATACAGCAATTTTGATTTTGAAAAATCAATCAAATAATGAGTAATTTTTTGAATCAATTAAAGAGAAAATCTGTGAAGTAAAATTTAAATGCATTTCTTAAGATAATGGAAGAAAACAGTCATCACTTCAAAGGAATAAGATTCATTACAGTTTTGTGACATGAACAACCTTGTTACAAATAAGATGGTCTAGGGTACTCTCAGTATACATTGTAATATCTTAATCAGACAGATATTCCCACGATGGGTTATTTTGGCATACTTAAAGTTCTATTTTCATTGAAATAGTCTCTTCATCACAAACGTACAGAGGCAATTGGAAGAATAAACTGTGTTGGGTCAGTGGACGAGTTTTCTTGTAAGTCACAGTTATTAGGTCGGTTTAAGAAAAACAATGACAATTGTATCAACATTCCAGATGTCTATTTTGTTTTGACATATGTTGTTTGGTTACTTTCTCGCTTGGATTTACTCGATTTCCTTTCGTAGTCATCTTTTGTTCTCTGTTATGTATCACACGTATGGTGATATAACTTATATTCTTCATCTTTATAACAGATTGGAGTATTAGCCTCTATTTTCATTTCGATTAAGCCTGTTTGTAGGTAAGATTTTTTTTCTTTTATCTTTAGTCCATAATCCTTTTTTTATTGCTTGTTATTTAGGTTTATCAAATTGATCAAATACTTCATTTTATACAAGGAAAACGAACGATTTCGGTATTTTCCTAATCCTATATCGCTGTAACCAATATTATTTTGATCAGATTCGAATTCTTTACCTTTACATATATATTCTTTATATCTATCCCTATTTCTTTTTTTTTTTATTTTGGAGATCATTCTCTATTCTATGAACACCATCCTAACCCTTGTGTCTACTAGTAATGTTGTTTGAAATTCGACGATGTACGCCCTTTTAACTGAACATGATATCGGTGCTTTGTGTTTCTTGTTTTTTGTGTTAGTCTTTTTTGTTTGTCATTCTAACCGATCTGTTGAGTTGAGCCATTTACAACTGATTTTACAATTTGGTCTTATGTTATGGTATTACATCACTGTCTCAGGTTAGAGGGATT